GTTATTTATACTTAAGAGGGGTAAGTAACTCACCCCAAGATAAGGTTGGGGTGCAGCATATTTTGTATTATTAGGTGTTTAAGTTGGGGTTTATCAAAAGATTCCATTATATTTATAGGGGAAACATTGAATGAAGATATATGTTTCTTAAAAGAAACTTTATTTGGTTGTGTTAAAACTTCTTTTGTTTTTTTTTTATTTCTCAAGACTATAAAATATTATAATAGCTTATTTATGTCATTCCAAATATTTAGTAGACTTATCTTAGAAGAGATACGTTATTAAGATTTTGTTGTTTTTATATGAAATATTTACTTCATACTATAATATACTATTTAGGTATACCACATGTATGTAGATAAAAAAAACATTAAAATATATAATAAGTTAACATACAAATAAATGCAAGGTACGTGATATAAAAAAGTTTTTTTTTATTATTGGCAATAAAAATCTGAAACTAGCCAGTAAACATCTGTTCGCCGAATCCTAAATCAATCCCACAGGATTTACAAAGCCATAAAAATGCTTGAAATTATGGTTCTGATCAAATCGTAAATAACACATAAAATATGGTGCAGGATAAACTTCTAAAGGGATTTTTTTTCTAACACACTTTCTATATTGTAATATATAAAAAGAATGAATGAGATAAATCGTATATATTTCTTTAAAGTAAAAAAAAATATTAGTATAAGTATTTATTTGATGCTAAGCGTTTTAAGGTACCACGAAACAATTTTGTTACATAATATTTAATAATTCAAGTGGCTATAAATAACTTAAGAAGAGCCGCTTTCTTAGTCTTTGCAGTTAACAAATTTCAAGAATTTTTAACTGATTGCACAAAGAAAATGGACCAAATAATAGGTATTAGATGAAAGTATAAGATATTGTACAATATCATAAAAAAAACAATTATAATAAATAAGAACCTTTGTCAAATTTCATAATATTTGGTTAAAACAGCATAGACAAAATGTTACTAAATTGTAAGCCATGTCATGCCAAGCAATGTGTTAATATTAGGTATATTTTTTCATCTTGTTAATCCTCTAAATAAATTTATTTTGATCCTTTCAATTAAGTTAGTCGTTTGAACAAAATATTTCGATTTCATATAATCTGCCCCAGAGGCTAAAAAGAACCCGTCCCAATAGCCTTTATTGTCCAAACTCCGGTTCTAATTAAGATGAAAATCTTTAAAGATATAAGAAGGATAATTCCCCCAATTTAATCATTTTATTTTTCTTCTAAAATTACCTAATTAAGGATCTTAAGAGACAAGAGTGTAAAGCATTAAAAAAGGAAAAAGTTTAAACGTCAACAATAATGGCGCGAAGAATGACAGATGGTTTACATCGTAAACAAAATGTCGGCCGTCACCGTAGGCGTAATTAAAACTTGGGGTGGAAAATGAAGACAATTTTCTTTTCAACTTGCTATGTTTTAATTTGTGCAATTTATTCGGTGACACAATTATTGGTGTTTTATTGACGGCCTGATTCAAGTTAGTATCTTCATACTTAACTCAATTACTTTATAATGAAATTGATATTTTGTTATAATAAACATTTTCGATTGGTTAGTTTCTTTTTAGAATTAAGAATTAAGTCATTTATGACTTTCTTCAAAATTTTTATATTAATATAATTATAATAAAAATATAATAATGCACTACACATTAAAATAATTCAGTTACTTTAAATAATTATCAATTAATATTTAAATTCACAATTACAAATAATAGACTTATTCCGTCACATAAAAAATAAGTGATAAATGACAAAATTTCACATAAAACAAAATTTACGTCAAACTACAAAAAAATGTTGCCACGACCTCCATCAAGATGTTTACACCGACCAATTTGTTGGTCACTATATAAAAGGCTACAGATAAAAGGCCCGTCCTTACCCCATAAAGGGGAAACTACTTGTAACCGTTGATTAGATGGGGTAATGATGTTTCTTCATACGGATTAAACGGATAAAGCTTTTGTGGGGATCACAGTTACAAGGTTTCTTAGTAAGATTGGACGTTTTATTACGATTTTTAGAGTAAAAAGATGTGAAAGTTTACTCATAAATGTAAAAAAAATATTATACTACTGTTATAAATGCGAATATTTGTGTATGTGTATACGTGTTTGTGTGTACGTTTGTAACTCCTGCACGCTAAGCCAAATGAATCGATTTGGATGATATTTACTACATAGATAGGATAGACACATACCTAGACTCTAGAGTAGCACATAGAATACTGTTATACCCAAAAATATAAACATATCTCAAGCGAAAATCGAATCCACGACTTTAACAAACCAGACAGTGCCGTTAAAAACAATTATAATTAACTAACAGCCTTTCAAAAGATCAAACGAATATAAAAACATGAATTAACTCTTAAACAAGCTCCACACTAAGGGGCGAGTTGAAATTAGTTGTAAAGTAGTGGCGGTAGACCGGCGGATCATGATCGCTCGACCGTCGTGGCCGCTATGGGCTTAATCTACCAAATCGATCAGACGTGTTTGAACGGTCTAGTAACTTGTGCTAGTACTCTACTTGCAGCTTTCATATAATTTCTTTTTTAGTTGCTATTTAATAAGCACAAAGTTTAAACAAATAAAAAGTAATTTTAATAATTGGTATAGATATAGAAAAAATAAACTAGTTTAATATTATGTAAATTATTACATAATTTATTTATGAGCTATGATAAATAAGTGTTGTATTTACAAAATAACATGTCTTATATTACGGCAACGAATATTTTCCTTTTTGTTGAAAATTAAACTGATTTATGGAGTAAAAAGAAATTATGCCACAAATTATGTGTTTGTAATATGTATTATATACTTCGATCAACAATACTATAAGATAACGTGTAACATACAATTTACAAACTCAAAGCTAAATTCTGTCCGCGCGAATATGCACTTATACAGCTACGTTTGTATACTAACGAACCAAGGCTAAGTCCTATAATAGTTTTATTTTCAACCTAATCAACACCATAGCAGTAGTAGTAGCATAGTCCGAAAAAAATCTTCTTCACGCATTATTTTTGCTACTTTTAAATACACATTGCGGTCTTGTGAACGTGTTTACGTTGGCAGTGTTTCAATAGAACTAATCGAAATATACGCTCACTTTTCAAATGAGCTGATATTTACCGAGACGGATTTCTTACGTCGACCCGATATCTAATGGTTTTGTTGATCGAAGATTATATATCATCTTTGTTACAAGTTAATGAGCACTGGCATACGCCAGCAAGACTAAACGAGCCACATTTGATCATTGCAAGATGCTTTGAAACTTGCGGTCTCTGTATATAGCAATTAATTCCGTAGTTTCATCCAAGCAATTATATAGCCCTAGAATTTAATCGGTAATTTATCGATTATTACTTCATGCACCCGACGTTACGTGCAAAATCCTTTTTTTATTAAATTGTAAAAATAATATACAAATAAATATATTGGGACATTAACACACAGCACCATCTAGTTCCATGGTAAGCTACGAGGCTTGTATTATGGGTACCAGATAGTTGATACACTACATAATTATATAACTTTAAATACATGTAACATATTATAAATATTGTGTAATGATATAAAATAGCAGTTTAATAGAAAATGTTCTAATAAAATATAAAAAGCACATCTTAAGACAGCGCAAGTGTTTCTAACCGAACGAAAAATGCAGGGGGTTTTCAATTTGACACGTATATTTTATGTTTTTTTTATGTTTCTTTTTGGAGATCATTATTTTATTTAAGATGTGTTTTTATAAGTATATTCATATGAAAGTAAGTGAATAATATGTAGTGGAAATTTAATTATAAACCAATTTTAGATGCAATCTTATTTTATGATACAAATAAAACATTTATGATAGTTTAAAAGAAAGAGGATTTCTTTAAACTTTAATATTAAACTGAGTCTATTTTTTACACCTTTCTCGTAAACTACAGTTTTAAACCGTAGCTTCTCGCGATATTTCAGCGGACCGCGCGCCGCTTCTAAATTCGTGACGGAATCTTAGATTTTTTTTAATTTATTTCAAGCAAAAACATGAAATTAATTTAATAATAAAACTCTTTTAAAATCAAATTGTACACGGCTTTAATTTCAAAAATTATATATCCAAGTGAATACCAATTAGACCCAGTTATGCAAAAAACAGCCATGTGCGTAAAAGTACCAACAGAGTTATAAGCATTTTTCTGTTGATAGTTGCACTTGGGTTATGTTTTGTTTTTCTGGTTATTTTAAAATTGAACAATATTTATATAAGTATTGTTTATTTTTTATAATTATTTTATTTTTTATAATAAAATGCTTATAACTCTGTTGGTACTTTTACGCACATGGCTGTTTTTTGCATAACTGGGTCCAATTACAACAATGCCTTAGTAGGTCGACTCAAGCGACACATCTGCATATGTGATATAAAAAGTTATACGATATCGAACCCTAGACCTGAACTAAGTGAACCGGCTTCATTTACTACATACCTAACTAATCTACCCCTAGATAGCTCTTTGCGATTGGCTAGTATCCTACTTGATGAAACGAGATAAAACTCTCCTATAACACTCTCCGTCCTATATAATATATACTGTCTTTACGAAAATAATCACGTTAATTTATTACTTCATGATGAAAAGACAAAAGAAAAACATTAGGTGATTCTTTAAATTGACATAACTTTTTTATTTATGAACCGATTGAAATAAAACAAATACTTAATGTTAAGTGACGCTTGCCACAATACATTAGAGAAAAACGCATCCAAATCTGATAAACCGTTTCTGAGATTAGCGCGCACAAACGCACAGACAAACAGACAAAACTCATTGTTTAGGGTTTTTGCGTTAACAAAGATCCCCAAAAATAGATTTTCTCAAATATATTCCATGTACAGACAGCGATCAGTTACAATTTTATTATATGTATAGAATAGATAATATTTAAATATATCACATACCTAGAAAGCATCGCATCGTTTGCCCCAAAATGATTAGCTGCGAGTGCTGCTTCCAACACATTAGACTCTCTTCTAGGTTCGGATCTGTTTAGAATAGAACTGATAGAAAAACTTGTATAAGGTGCACTTCCAGTGGCCTTCTCTTCTTTATCCTTCTTTAAATCATAGAAAGGACTCTTCTGGTCTCTAGACGGAGAAGAAGTAATATCAGGGCTGCTAGCACCAGACACTACGTTTACTTCGATATCGTTGTCTTGAGAAGACACCGGCGAATCCATTTTGATTTTCAGCACATCGTTCAAAACCTGAAAGGTAAAGCATGAGGATAAAATATCTATAATTTAAACATTTTAGTACATCTGAATATTTTTTTCTAAATTTAGCACGCTTAAAATATGTAGTAAGTTGGTCCATAAAAATAGGTAGTTTAAACTTAACCTTAGAATGTATAGAACCGATTAATATTTGCTTGGCAATTTTTATACCTATTCCTATGAAAATTTAAAAAAATGGGTGATCCATTTGTTTTATATTTTCATAGTGGGTACATCAACAGCGGCAGTAGTGTATAAACTATCACTTTTCCAAAATTCAACTTCCGTTATAGAGTTAAAAACTCAAAAACACACACGCCCTTTGCAACACTTACTCAAACAAACTTTCGCAGTATATGTAATTACTAATTAGTATAATGTGATGTTGCATACATTATGTTCAACTCAATTCAATTTTCTTGATAATGGCTTCAAAACGTAGTTGAGCATAGATTACTTCGCCAATACCACGTAGAATGGAGAAGATACGAAGGTGATGTATGTATACATTATATATTATCACTCGAAAAAATTCGAAGAGTTAACAGAAATTTTAAATGTTCTAAAATTTAAAAACAAAATAATAGTAAGTAAAATAAATATATAACATCCAAACATGGTGTAGATTTGTACCAAACAGATTTTACTGCTTTTTATGTTCAAAGGAATAAAACATTATATTTATTCATCGTTTTTTACATACATTAAAATGGATTCCAACGGATATCCTGTTTGGTAATGATTTCTTTTTTTTCAGCTTATCGCCGTCCACTGCTGGACGAAAGCCTCATAGAACGCCAATCATCCGGATCTCAGTAAGACAGGGGGATGTAATAAAGATTATGATACTTTAATTCTATGTTTATTTTTTTATGAAATAGATGAAGTAAACAAGGTCCCCATCACCACCATACCCTATTGTCGAAATAAACCCACCCAAGCACTCTCATTATACTAAATACTATAAATTTTTAATCTACATTAATCTGATCCGATAAAAATGTTAAAGCATCCATTAAAAACCTTAAAGATTTTTACTAAATAGCTACTTACTTATTCACTATAAGGGCTGGTCCCTTAATACAATCTACGCCCGTGGGACATCCCTAAATAAGGCTAAGAACAATAACGCACTTACTGGCTTGAATTATATATCAGTTAAACGTCTCGAGATGGCTACCCCATGATCGGTATATTGATCCTGGACTTACTTGTTCTACACTAATATTATATGTTTATAGCTGAGCTTTCTATGAATATAATAAGCTTAAATTTATTTTTATACATATGTTATTCAAATATCTTTTTAATACAAATTATTGGTTAATGTGTATGAGCGAAATAATATATTTCCGAAATTTTAAGTAAAACTATCTTTTTGGATTATTTCGCGGATTTATTTTGATTTTTGGTTCCTGACGTTTCGAATGCTTGACAGCAATCATGGTCATGGTAAAAAGATAGTTTTATTTAAAATTTCAAATATTCACGTAAATCTAAGAAAGCATTATATCTCCATTTTTACTGATTGATTTGAAATTTTGTCATAATAGCTATTGTATTTTAAATGAAAAAGGTTTCAAATAAAACTATATTTTCAATTATTTTCGAAGACACTCCCAAATGACCATGTTTGTTGTATAGCATTCGAAAGATGGTAAACAAAAAATTCTAATAAAACCGCAAAAAAAGTGAAATTTTTTTTTATTAAAATGTCAAATATTTAAGTTAATCTAAGAAATTATTATAAAAATAGTTTTTATGCTCTACATTTTGTTGTAACTCGCCACTAAACACTACTATAGTGGTTCTAGTTTTTCCGTTCACTATAAACGTTGTTTGTTATACAATACACTTGGTATTTGAATACATTTTTATTTTGAAGTGAAGTGTGGAGTGAAAGTAAAAAGTAAATAAATTAAAATACAAACAAAAACTTAAAATAATATTGGAGCTTCTAAATTTAAATATGAGCAATGGAGAAAATTAAACAATTGTTTATGGTTTTAAAAAATAACAATACGTGATTGTTTTTTACAAACTACCTACATATTTTTAAAAACTGAGATTTTTTTGTAGTGGATAAACTATAAATACGCTGAATCGATTTAGATGGTGTGAAATTCATTTTGGTATGAAAATAGTTTGAGATCCTGGGAAGGACATAGGATAATTTTTATCCCAGAAATCATCCCTAAAGCGGGTGAAAAGGTGAATGATTTTTTTTTGTATGGGGAATCAATCATTTCTCAAGAAAGGGATAGAAAATTCATCATACCTATATAATATGTATTCCACACTACCCGTTAAAACGTACCTAGGGACGAAACTGAGTGAAGCAAAGGTGAGTCGCTAATTCATAATAAATCAAACCACATTACTTATGCTTTACACTTAAAAGAGAATTAAAATATGCTAGAAAATACCTATACTTTATATACCTACTAATCAACATTATAAGAAAGAAAAGAAGAAAAATGTATGTCTAAGAAATCTAAACATCTCAGCCAAACCGCAAAAGAACTGGCTTTAGAAGATTTATAAGACGTTTCTTTTTAAGGTTACGAATTTTCAAGAAATCGTCTGCTAACAAATTACTTATATATGAATGAATAAGACCATACTCCACGACCATATTTAGTATAAGTACGGCTTGGAAAAATTTTCAGTACGTATATAAATACTTAGTGTATTTAAAATCTATTTTTATGACTACACGTTTGGCTCAGTTTGTAGAGACCCTACTACTTGCTGTGTCAGCGGTCGCGGGTTCGAATCCCGCTGGGGGCATTCATTTGTGTGATGAGCACGAATGTTTTTTCTCTAGTCATGGGTGTTTATATTTATAATATGTATGTCTTTAAAGTTATATATGTGTAGTGTATCAACTATCCATAACACGAGCCTCGTAGCTTACCATGGAACTAGATGGTGCTGTGTGTTAATGTCCCAACATATTTATTTATTTATTATTTATTATGTATAATCATACTGAGTATATAAATGCTAAGTAATTGAAGATATACTAAAGATATAGTAGGAGTTTGTCACTTCTTCTTATCATCATGTTCTGGGATACTTTTTATCCTCAGACTAAGGAATAATATAAACAGAGTGTCATAGCACTAAACATGAAATCAAATTTAACTTATTTTTTTAAATAAATGATAAAGTTTAAAGTAGAAGCGTGATATGCTACTACCATGGACGAATTAATTCGTTCATGGCTACTACTTTAAACTTTATCATTTATTTTGGTGGACTCCGTCTATATAATTTTTTAGTCAGAATCTTTATTTTCCATCACTTTTTAAACAAATGAAGCAGCATGAAGACACTAGTGGAAAGAAAAAGTAAATATTAGCAACCCTAGGTCATCTAACCATTTACCATAAGTTAGTTTGTTTAAATTAATTATTTTTTATACTTAGTTATACTAAAGAAAATCTATCCTGATCGTAGTATTTTAAAGACATAAGTTTTTTTAATGCTATGTACTTTTGAAAGAATCTGACGGGACCATCTATTTTTTTAATTATAAAATAATATTAATGTACACTTATTGGAATATTAATTAATATTATAACAAACTTTTACATAAAAATCATCAAAAACTTTTAAAATACAGATTAAATCAGGACAATACAAATATTTGCTCCAATCAGGAATGATACTTGCTACTTGGGCTACATTTAAATACTGACCGCCTAACTCCGAAGGCTCTAATAGAGCTTTTTGCAATACATATACCAATACCATTTGTTAAAATTTGTGCCAACTCCAAAAAAACATAGAGAAAAGCAAAGTATCTTCAGAACCGAAAAGCTCCGAACTCTACCACCTTTACCCAAACTCATACACCTTACTATAATTAGCGGAAACAAAGTAATTCTATAAAACCATCAAAAGGCTTGCAAATTAATGTAACAGTTGTAATTTATACCGATGGCTGGACGATACGACCATGCAATAATATCGGCTGAAACTCCCTTTCATTGGGAATCATTCGTTTGATTGCCTCTTTTGGTATTTTAAACACGTGTATTTGAATTTCCATGGACATTTTATTTAAATGTATTGAAAAATTTATTGGTGGTAAAAATTGAGCACTTATATGTAGTTCCAATGGTTTGCTTTATATAAGCGTTCAACGCAAATAACCTAAGCTAAAGTTGAAATACAAAATTAAATTCAAATTTTAATTTTGACTTGTATGACTTTAAAAATGTTATTGCTACTTATGTAATAAAGCTGAAAAGTTTGTTTTTTGTTTGTTTGATCGAGCTAACTTTCTTCTCTAGAAGTACCTATCTAAAACCTATTATTATAATTTATGTAGCGCTTATAACAGTGGCACATTTATACGATATGAAAAACATTTAAAATGTAACAAATATTTATAATATTTGCATAATATTAATATATAATATTAAATAAAATAATAATTTTAAATAACATATTCCATTTTAAAAAATAGCTACAAATAAGTTATCGACGAAAAAACAAATAGAGATATATTTTTATATATTTATTATATAAAGAATCATTTCGTCCCGTATAAAACAAGTAAACGAACACACATTCATATCTATAAATATTTATAATTTAAAATAACCTTTGTAAAGTCATTCTCAGTATATATAGTCATTATTAATATATATATATATATATATATATATATATATATATATATATGTATATATATATATGTATATATATATATATGTATATATATTATAGATAAATGATAAATATCAGTATTGCAAGTCAATGAGAATCACAATATCACCAACTCGAAGTGCTGTTCTACTGACAGATGCTAAAGGATGCTGAAGGATGCCTTTTAAATATACTTATGTTCGCCAGTGGCCGAAATTCGATCATAATGATATTTAAAAAAACTATTTTCCAAATTTTTGTATTCAGATAACACTAAAGATTGACAATCAATATTAAACAAATAAAATATAGAAAAGCGGTAAACGAACAGAGGAGAAGAAGGTGCTGAACTGTTTCCTCTTTGCCTATCTATATTATATAGATAGTTAAAAAAATAAGAAAATATATTTTTGACCCACAATAATATATGTTACTTACATTATATTGTTATATGTCACCTACATAGACTGATTTCAAAGGTCTTCCTAGCACCATCATCAGATAAAAAGAAATTATTTGCCCTCAAATACTTACAAAAATTAAATTAAAATGAGAAACAGATTATAATCTATGTTTAAGTTATAATTAGTAAAACAATTATAAATTTAAAATTTAAAGAAACCCCTACGCAAATTAATTGTCATTTAACGAAAACACTGGCACGCGTGAAGCACTTAATCGAGTAATCATACGCTAAAATGCCCTACATCATTTTGGAAAAAAGCTAATACTCTTACACTGCTGGACCGATATTAACCAAACATAGCTAAGAACCACCGCAAGGAAACGGGCTTTTAAATTAAACAACCGCATCGAAATCGATCCATCCGTTTGATAGCCACGATGCCACAGACAGACACACACACACAGACAGACAGACATCGACGTCAAACTTATAATAACACCCCTCTTTTTGCGTCGGGGGTTAAAAACGTATTAAAACGATAATTTTAATATGTATGTGTAGGATAGGTTCATTACTTAATTTTCATTGTTTATCAAACAAAAACCTTTATTTAATCGTTGTAATAAGATATAGGAAATCCTCATCACCCCAGGTGTGTGTGCTCCGGAGCGAGATGTAAACGATACTTTATAAATCGATTCTGACGCTCGATTAAATTTTCTAATCGATTTTTTATCATTTTTAATTAGGAGCCTTTGTGGGGTTTTTAAGTGTCAAAATATTTCCTAGTGTGGGAGTACAGTGAAATGTGATACCGGTCCCTTTACTATATTCGTTTTTGAAATATTTTTAACAGATTATTTAAAGCTTTAATTTAGATACAAT